TCTCCGTTGGAGAGACGGATACGAGTCACTTGGATCTGAGAATGAATATGATGGTGCATACTATGGTACGATAACTACACAGGATCTACACATCGCAGTCCAAGCAGAACATAACTGTGCATCTTATCAATGTGAAGGCAACAATACACAATTTACCGACACTATTTTATCCAATGAGGAGACATTATATGTTTATTGTAAGTATGACATATGTTTATGCTAAACATGCGTTCAGAGCATTACTCATTTAAACTGTATTGACCATACTTGTTTAATTTCATTTGCAGTCCCACCAAACGAGCCATCGCCTTGCACCACATCACTGAGGGGACCAACAGGAAATATTACCGCGGGAGATATAGTTACATTACAGTGTACATCATGTAGCAGTAATCCTATAGCACATCTCACATGGTACCAAAACAACATAGTATTGAATGATGGAATTAGTTTGAAGACGTATGTAGAGTCAGAATATAATGGAATGCGAACAGTTCAATATTACACATTGACTACCTCACAATATAGCCATGGATTTACTTATATTTGTGAAGCCTTTAATGATGAATTTCAAGATGTATTTGCGTCTACACAAATACAATTAGACGTGCACTGTAAGTATAGTTGTTTGTAAAAATAATGGTGTAGCTATTGACAAATCTGATAAAGTTTGATCAATTTTGAAAACCGGACAAACGCTGTTAACGAATTGTACAATGCATCATATATCATTCTCTTTTAATTGTATACATCGTCATATCAACTCAATTTATTACATTATTCATTTTTGCAGATGCTCCAATCACCGAGAATAGGGTTACTAACAGCAGATGTGCGACTAATTTGACTGAACAAGTTAATATAATATGTGAAATAAACAGCAATCCTGAATCAGTCATTACATGGTTAGATCAGTACAACGAAACATTAAGCAACGACACTGGCAAAATTATCATCCGTGAAAAATACGAAACTGTTCTCAAAACGAGCATCTTAACAATAATGAGTGTAGAAGAATCTGATTTCGGGGAGTATTATTGTGTAGCGAGGAACTATATTGGTAGTATTATTCAAACTGTTCTATTTTCAGAAATATGTAAGTACTGAAAAAAAGATCGCCTGTGTAGAAATTTATATCATGTTTTTGTATGCAATACATTATAAATATCTCCTGATTACCGAGGTCTACTATTCTGTATCATTAATATCAACTGTTTAATTACAGCTTCACCAGATAGCGTAACTGACGTTTGCGTAATTAATAAA